ATTAAATTGTTTTTTTAATATTAATTTTAATTAAAAATATACCCCAATGTTAAGTATCATATCGATGATCAGAAATAAATTGAACAACGAATGAAATGGCAACAAATAATTATTAATAATAAAACTTACTGAGATATAACATACGCGTTAGATACTAACACAATTACAAATTTTATTATTTATCTATGTAACGTTGAAAAATGCATTTACCATTCGAATCACACATTTTGAATACCATTTATTAAAGACAGATATTATTATCGTATAAATTCTTTTAAATAAATACGAACAAACAAAACACAAAATATGCTATCACCCCCACTAATTTAAAATATCTTTATATGAATTAAAAAAAAAACAGAAGTTCTATTCTAAAAATTTCATCTTACCTGATTATTACACCCCCTTACTGCAACCATTAGACAAAAGAATTCAAAATCAATCGACTGAAGGATCAAACAGGAACAATATAAAAGTAAAATGCATTAACTTTTGAACAACGCGTTTGGAAGACACGATTATTAAAACGTGTCGGCGTCTTGTAAAAACCTTCCAAGGGAAAACAAGACAATATATAAAATAAGAAAAATAAGAATAAAAATAAGAAGGATGAAAGAGTAGTAAAGGGATATGGAATAAGATGAGGGGGTGGGGGTAAGAAGATAGTTGGAGAAACGCGACCAGCTTCTTCTTCTTCTTCTTCTTCTTCTTCTTCTCCAGTCCTTCTTGGAATCTTAAATTAAAGCGCTCTCGTTGTTTTGCGATCGGAAAAAAGGGGGATCCCGATCAGAGGGAAGGTTACGAATAAAAGAGAGGATCGGGTGCTGCTAAAGCGGCGAGGACTTGAGAGCGTTCCGGTGTCGTTCGCAATCGGGGGCATAAAGTGTCCCGCATAAAGCAAAGTCCCAAGTTAAGAAGGAGAAGCCAACCACCATGGAAAGAGAAAGACATGGTGGCCAGGTTGGGGGAGGAGGGGACCAAACGTTAGCTGGGGGGACTTGGCGGTAAGCACCCAGGTACGACTCGGTAACCGATCGTGCCCCGTTCCATTTTTCTTTTCACTTTCAACACAACAACTGAGAGAGGAAACGTCCGACGTTATATTTACGACGATTTCAAAGAAAAGACGTAGAAGGAGAAATTGGAGGGGTATGGGGAATTAGGGGAGGATGTCGTGCTCGATCTTTCATGCTTGTTCGTTCCTCTTGTAAAACCTTAAAGCGGTTTTCCTGTTAAAACGGGAGTATACCACTACTGACCATGCATGCATGCGTGTGTATGCACTCTCGGATGCATCGTTATTCTTTCTTTTTTTTTCCTGGTTTGTATTATTTTTTCTTCCTACCGTTTATTTTGTATTTTTCTTTCGCACTCACGACTTGTAACTTGTTAAACGTGTATACTTTCAATTTATTTTAATTCGATCAGTTATTTTGATGAATTTTTGAATAGTATATTTATGTAATAGGGTCAAGAGATTGGGTCAAAGTTTGATTAGAATTATATATGAATGTGCTGTGGATATATAATATAGGATATAAAGTAGATTGAATAAAAAAGAAATTAATTAAAAATATCTAACATTGATGAGACTATATATATATATAGTGTTCAGATAATTTGAATGCATCAATTCACCCTTATATATCTTAGATACTGATATTTTATTATAAATATTCTGATCATCTATTTAAAATATTGATAATTTTTGTATTATCAATCGATGTAATATTGATCATTGATATTCCACCATATAGTGATATTTTATTATTTATATTGATCATTTATTTAAATATACTAACCCTCTCTAATATCCTAAAGTAATCGTATAGGAAAAGCAGAGAAAAATTTGTACGATTCCTTAATAAATATATAAAAATACTTACATAAAAAATGAATAAGGCGAGAGGAATACTTTGTAGGAATCTTGCATGGTGTCTTGATAAAATTAATATGTGACGATGACTCTATCTTGAATTATTCTTGAATTATATAATAATTAGCGAGATAATTCGAGAGAAAATTATTTGTTCGATTCTAAAAACATAAAACAAATATAAATATCATTTGATATATGTGTAAGAGCTTATATATGCGCCATCTGTTACGTAATTATTGCAAGCACGAAGCTTGCTTCTCTTCCATTTACCTAGTACCGCCATTTTCAATTTTCACTCATGTTGTTCACTTTTAATTTACATGATATTACAACTTCAGCTATTATTCTACTAGCTTCTTTACTTTTACTTTTATGATCTTTCCTTTCGTGTACTTTTAATGTATTTACGAACAATCTATTACATTATAAAGTATAATCCTTATTAGTACACACGAGAAGAATGCTTGGGAATGTTGACTAAGATGGTATGCCTTCTCTACTTCCAAATAAATGCACACAGTTGTACGATTAAAAATTATTACTTCTCCTTTAGAGGAATTGTCTATTATATTGTAAGCGAATTTAATTTGTAAATTTAAATTTAATCCTAGAAAAAAAAAAAAAGATATATTTTCTTATAAGAAAAAATAATTCGAATAAATTTATTTTCAAGGCACAGCCCTGAACGATTTTAATTCAGATAAATCCAAAATGACGAGACCCAGGTCCTCTTAACATTCCACCGATAACAGACCGGATCATTCTAGCAACTTATATACCACAGAAAAGTTGGCATAGAACCTGAACAACAGAACAAAATGAATGAGTACTCTTAATTGTACATTAATTGTATATTTAAAATTTATAATAGCACACATTATTAATTATTTCATTAGTTATAATTAATTGAAAATACAAAAACGTTTTTTCTTATTTCTAAGCAAAGCAATGAAGTTTCATATTGTTTTTTGTTTTCAATCAATTGCTGACTTTTTGTTTGTCAGTTTTTCTCCGGTCTTTCTAGCATCAATATGATGTAGGTTTTTATTTTTAATCTAGTAAGTCTTTTTCTCTGTACCTGTTCCATGACAATCGTTCTTAACGAGTAAACTTCTTTAATTAATAATTAAAACAAAATATTTATATTAGATTTCTAAATATTGTTTGCTATTATATGTATATAGAATTTAATTACACATTCACTTTCTGTACATTTCTGTACAGAAATTAAAAGTTACTAGGAAATAAGAAAGTTTAAAATATATTGAAATCTAGTAACATTTTTAAGCATCATATCGATAATAGTAGTGCTCTACTTTTATCTTACCGGTAACTTACCATCAGAATTACCGACAGTAAAAAAACTTACCGCAGAATAAAATTTATAAGTGCGCTTAATTGCACACTAATTGCTTATTTATCCTCCATAATTGTTCGTTTTATTGCTTGAAAATTTTGTAGGATCCATGCCAGCGTTCCTACGGTAACATATACTCTGTTTGTTTTATAAAGAATTAATTTAAACGTTCACTTAAGATTCATTACAGATTTTTATTTAAATTAAAAAACAAACAAATTTGTACAAAATTAATTATTAAGATAAATTATATTGTTCCAATGATCCACTGACCCATCGTACTATATAATAAGTTTTTTTACCAACCCTCAAAAGGGTTACATTATTAGATAATATATGAATACCAGGTACTAAGACTTCATTCAAGTTAGTAACTTTACTATAATTAATGTAAAAACCACCAGCTTTTATGATTCTACGCGTATCATGATCACTCTTAAAGCATTTAGCTTTTGTTGCTAATTCGTATACCGTCAAGCCTGGTTCCCCAAATATATCTACAACTGTTGCTCCTTCAAATACACTGGCTATTTCTTCTGCACTCATTTTAACTAAAGTATCAATTGATTTATTATACAACACTAGAGATGTATCTTTTGCTGCCTTTAAGCCAAGTTCTGAAAATAAATGTCGATGCTTTTATTCTATATAATGAAAATAATTAGTTAAATGTACTATTTTCTTTTTCTCTTTTTTTTTTTTTTCAATTAAAATTATTACCTCCATGAACTAGAAGGGTAACTTTTTCCGCTAAAATTCTTTGGGCCAATCTATTTTCTGGTTGTTTAAAATGTTCCTTTACAATGTCGGATATTTTTGGTAGCGATAAGAAGGTAAAGAATTTGAGAAAATTTTCAACATCGCTATCTTTGGTTCTAATAAAGAATTGATAAAGCTGAAAACTAGAGGACTTAGTAGGAGATAACCAAACAGCATTGCCGCTAGATTTTCCAAATTTCTTACCACCTTCTGTAGTTATAAGTGGCAATGTTAAACCATAAACTTTTTTATCTGTGGCTTTTGTAACCAAATCATATCCAGACATAATATTACCCATTTGATCGCTTCCACCAATTTGAAATAAACACTTATGATTGTCTGCTAAATATAACCAATCGTATCCTTGAAAAACTTGATACGTAAATTCTGTAAAGCTCATTCCAGTTTCTGAATTTAAACGTGATTGAACAGATGTCCTTCCTAACATCGTACCTAATCTGAAGTACTTTCCAACTTTTCTTACAAACTGAATAATATTAATATCCTTATACCAATTTAAATTATTAAGAATTTGTAATGGTTGCAATTTTTTGGTTTTATCAGGCCAAAAATATTTATGGTGATTATTAAATACATTTGCTATGTCTAATTTGATAGATTCCAAATTCTCTTTTAAGAGTATCTCTTTGATTTCAATTCTTTCTGATTTTCTGTGACTAGGATCACCTATTAAACCAGTTGCTCCACCTAATACTGCTATCACTTGGTGTCCTGCGCGTTGCCAATGTAAAAGATTCATCAATACTAATAAATTTCCTACGTGTAAGCTGCTCGCTGTTGGATCGAATCCAGCGTAAACACATTGTGGAGATTTAGTTAATAAATCTGTTATCTCTTTACTGTAAAAAGAAAAAGAATGATTTATAAAAATACATATACATATTTTTATGTATATATAAAAATCAATATCACTTACGTACAATTATTTGGAAATATATCCTCGTACATACCCCTCTCCTTAAGGTTTAATATATTTTTATCAACATTGCTATAAGTATTTGTTTTTCTCTGATAAATTTGTTGAAAAAATGTTCTTGCACTTAATAAACGTTTTATATGCATTATGATATTTTTAACTTAAAATCTATACTTCGTCAATTATTTCTCTATTATAAATAAAAGTTTTTAATTTATATATATATATTTTAGAAAATAACTATTCTTTTTCTTTAACAGAGAGAGAGAGAGCAGAAAACTTTACACATACAAGATAGACGATATACGATTCCTGTTTAGGTTCGTGTTACCTCGGAAGAGGTTAGGAATATCATTGGTTATAAATTTGATAAGAGTACGAACTCGTTAGTATAATTTTTATAAATATAATTCCTTATTTTGTAACTTTCTGTTTAATAGTTTGTTCAAATGTTTAAAATGTGAAATTTCTTTAATATTATATTTAAAATAATACCTATTAAAATAATAAAAATATTTTCACTTATTTAATGTTACAAAATGATATTGGTTATCGGCAGAATTTAACTCTTTCTGATTGGTCAACATACATGATACTGAGAGACAGATTCTGGATGAACATTTTCGTACGAGTGATGCTGCTCTAAATGTTATTCCTTATATATAATATGCATATATGTGAACATATATACGTATATATTATCGCTGTGAAATGAGTTATTTATTTACTACTTGAAATCAACTTTTTGCAAGCTTAATCATCGACCGAAAGACAAAAATCTTTATTGTTTTATCATCACCGTCCTAATATATTTGAATTTGATAGATAACAAGGTATAAACATAATCGTGTTAATAGCTTGTCTTTAAATAAACGAATATATAATTTTATGTAAGAATTAAACGTTACAAAACCTGACAAAAATACAATTCGTTGATGTTTCTGATTTAGTGTCTACGAATTGTTTCTTTTTTTTGTTTTAAATAATGCCTTAAAGTATTAATCTTTTTTAATATGTAAATATTATTGTATGCATATTAAAAAATATATATTTAATATTTTCAGTAGCTATGTCCAATGAGGAGCGCCTTCGAAAGCTATTATCTGATTTAGGAAAAGCAACTTTACGTGGTGTAAGAAAATGTCCTAAATGTGGAACGTATAATGGATCTCGTGGATTGTGTTGTAAAAATAAGTATTGTGATGCAGTGTTTAAAGAACCAGGAGAAAAGAGAAAATTATCAACCGAGGCATGTAAATTAATAACTGGTTCAACTGCACAAGTTTTTTCTGTTCGAGTTAGAGATAAAGGTCCTGATTATCGAGGTTTTGTACAGTTGCCTTTAATAAATGCAACTATTTCTAATGAAATTATAACATTAATTTCACAAACAACTGCTCTATGTTTTGTCGATACTTGTGAGAGGAGTTTTGATACCAGTGTTCTTAAATGTCACGTAAGTTAAATATTATATAATTGTCTTTAATTTATTTCATGAAATTTATATATATATATACGATTTATCATTATAAGATATAATTTTAGGAAAAAGATGCATCAGATTTATCTGTATCGACGTGCCAACATATCCAAGCTGCATTAAGATGTTATGCAGAAGCTCAGCCATTGACGTTAAGAAATTCTATTTTATCATCTTTAAACGTAAACAATGAAATGAAACAAGAGATTTGGTTATTAGCTACAGAAACGTCAGGTCCATTGGTACAAAGAGTATCTAAAAATATAATGGCTGTAAAATGTAAAGCTTCGCCAAAGCATCCATTAGGATATCTTCATTTTTCTTTCTTCGTAACTAAATTGAAAGATAGAGTAGAACATCGGTGTTTTTGCAGTTGTACTGCGTTTAAGGTAAATTGATAAAGAAAGTATCTCTTAATTTTTACTAAGTTTTATGAATTGTTTAATTTTTTATATTAAATATTATTTACAGGGTACAGCCAAATCAATTGGAGATAAAGTAGAAACAAATTTGTCGCAAGCAAAGCGTTGCGTACACTTTTACGCATGTATATGTGCCTTTGCTAGTGATCCTAAATTGTCGGAAGAATTTAGTTATTATATAACCTTAGATCAAAATGATCTAAGTGTACCAAAGCCACCGATATCAATTTTACAAAATAATGAACAAGATAAAATAGTTGGAATAGGTAATACATATTTTTTATGAAAGGATATTTCTTTTTCATCATAAAAGATATCTAATTTTGTGTTGTAACTAATGGTAGATCTAGATCCTTTAAACACAGATGATGCTGAAACGCATCTGTTGATATTTCGTGATGACACTTTAACTGTGCAATGTTTAGATGGAAATAGACTTGATTTAGATTCAATGAACTTGGATTCATCGATTTTACCTAATAACATTGTTGAAAATATCGAAGTGGAATGTGATCGTAGTTTGTTAGAAGATAATAATATTATTTCTCAGGTATCGCACTAAATTATTATATATTATTTATTAATAAGTTGATAAACATTTGTAAATATTATTTTAACTATATTGTTATTATTTTACAGGTTCATAATTTGGAAGTTATTGACCAAAATAGTGTACAATTTAATGGAAACACAATGAAAATCTTAAATGAACAAACTGAAATTGATACAAAGTACAATATATTAAATAGTCAATATATCTTAAACGATAATAATATTAAAATATTAAATACTGGAAATTTAAAAGTCATTGATACAAATACAGTATTAGATGTAAACAATATCAAATTAATAGATACTAATGCAGTGTATAATGGTAATGAGCTTAAGATGATAGAAAAAAATGCATTAATTCAATACGATAATGGAAATATGTTTAATCCTGAAAGCGGGACTGTACAACCTACTGTTTCGATAAAGCGAAAAAGAGATGATAAAAACGTGAATAAATTAAGTGCTACTGGTCTAAATAATTTAAGTTCTATTGAACCGAGAAAATCAAAATCAAAACCAACTATTATAAAGAAATATCAAAATTCATGCGAAGACTTGGATGAAGCTAACACAAATCTACCTTTCATTAAATGGTTAGCATCAATTACAGAGAGAATTAATCAAACAATGCATTTTCAGTTTGATGGTAAACCTGATCCTTTGGTATTTCATGTACCACAAATATTTTTTGATTGTTTACGAGAGCGAATATCTTGTGGTGGCAAAAAGAAACGTTTACCTAATTCGACGACAGCCTTTGTTAGAAAAGACGGAGTACCATTGGGTACCTTTACAAAATATACATGGCAAATTACAAATATATTGCATGTAAAGAGTATTTTTGAAACACCTCTTATACCTTTAGAAATCACAAGAAGTTTTATACAAAATGCAGATGGAACGTATGAATTATATAAACGAAAAGAAACAGATATCGATCGGTATAAGAAAACAAATAATAATGCATTGATCAAACCGCTAGAATTGAAAACTTATTTAAAAGTTGGTAAGGGGACATTTTCACATTTAAGATTATTTTATATATCAATTATTTCAATTAGAAAATACGGTCTATCAAATAATACTTTTTTAGGTAATACTTCTCCTAATCAAGTAGAGCCAACACCATTCTTAATAGAATGGATACCGGATATTTTACCAATATCCAAAATTGGCGAATTAAGAATTCGATTTGAATTCGGACACGTTAAAAATGAGACTAGCCAAAGATGGAGAAAGATAGCGTTATCGAAAAATTATTGAATTAAAAGTTTATAATATCATATCAGTATAAGTTAAGTATTTATTTTCAAGTATTGTATTGTTATTTCTTTGTTATATCGCAAAGTTTTAAATGTTTTATAAGAGAAACACGTAAGAATGTTTTACATTGCATACCGATGTATATATTTAAATCTACAATTTATTTTATGCAAAATAATTTTGCATTATATTATAAATTAAATTAAATGTACTTTAACCCTTTCAGTACATAAATTTTAATAACGAATATATGAAAAATGTTGTAATTAACTTTGTATATTTCTATGATGCGTGTAAATACATTATGTATGTATTCGTGTGAATATATTGATTTAAATTGAATCATAATATTATGTAACAATTTTAATGTAACTGATGTAGTACTTGAAGGGTTAAACAATGAAAAATTATATATATATATATATGCTTTGAAAAAATTTAAATACGCTAGAAGATTTATTAGATAACGTACTAAAACATATATAAGTATTGGCGTTTTTGTTTGTAACTCTAATACATTAGAGTTAAAATTTTTAAATGTAAAGACTGACCTCTGTTTTTTTAAAAAGATGGGTACAAATCGTGTTTTTAATGAACAATGTGTGTTTGCCAACTGCGAATTACATTTTATAGAATCGTTTAGAGCTTACGGCGTTTAACAGTCATTTTATTTGAAAGAGCAAAATACATATTGAAAACTTTTTTATTTATTTACTAGACGGGTACCACCGAGATGAATTAATGTAAAGACAAAAAAAAAGAAAAGACAAAAAGTAATGAAAAAAAAAGATTCGATTTGTTTTTAATATAAAACGAGACGAATGTATCATACAACACGTGTCAATGTAAAATATTGTATATACGTATTGTGGCATATTTTAAAAATCGGAAATGCTAAATTAATATGTTATTTAATAAATACGTATTCTATGATATAATAAATTTTCAATTATTTGAAATTGATTTCCTACTACAATGATGTACATCTATTTTCTATTTTTTAATCGTTTGCATACGATGACATTATGACAGTAATGTAACGAAATAAACAAATATGTAATAGGTAAAAGATAAAACAACTATTTATCTATATCGTATAAATTAAAAATATCTTTTATATGTCTCATAAATACAAAAGTAATAAAAAGAAACTTATCTACAGGTTCTCAAGGTTAAGCAAGACGTAAATACTAAGTGAGCGTGGTTGTTATGTTAAAAAAACTTATTCGACTTTGATTTAACTAGAAAAGAGAAATAAGTACATATATATATATATATATATATATATATATGTATGCGTATGTATGCGTGAAAGATAAAAGAACAAAAAAGAGAATCTATTTCTTTTTCTGAAAATATCAATATCATTTTTTAACCAAAAAAAACTTATTCATTCTTAACGTATTATCGTATAAAATAATAAAATGAAAAAGAAACGTATTATGGATGTCGTGGCAAAAAAAAAAGCGCGGTTTTCCAATGTACGCATGTATGTATGCATCTCGTATCCCATCTATGAGGATTCCATGACTTTTTTTCTCTAGTCATAGCACACGATGTTACGCGATGGTGTCTTTCAACCGTACAACACTAGTCAAACGAACTTTGATCAACAAATTTTGATTCAATAATAATCATTATGGTTCATTATTTATTTGTCATTAAATAATACGATAAGATTAATCAAATAATTATCGATGATAAATAAATGATATTAAAATGATGTAAACTTGATGGGTGATTTGTTCTATTGAGTTAAGATTCACACCGGAAACAGCGAATACGAACGGAAGCTGTCTCTGACGTAGGAGAGTTAGAGAAGCGTACACTTCCATTTTCTTGATCCACTCGGCGAAGTGAGAGCACGTGTTTGTTCGCCGGCACTTTTCTTTCGAAAGACTTCGTTTTAATAATAATCTTAGCAAAAATTAATCGTCACGCGTACGCGGTTATTCATTGACTTGTGTAACGTTCTAATAGATCCTTAAGTTCTTACTTAATACAAACTAGTATCAACATGAATCCGGAGAAGCTTAAGAAACTCCAAGCTCAAGTACGAATCGGCGGTAAGGGAACACCCCGTCGCAAGAAGAAGGTACATCAATTGTTCTTTTTCTTTTCTTTTTTTTTTTTTTATTACAACATTTTTATTTAACTATCTCTTTCTTTTATCATTACTTTCCTTATCTTTTTTGTTTTTATCCTACGTTAATTATTACTTAATACTTATTACCTTTTCCATATATACGTAGATACATTAATTTCTATGAAAGAATGATTTGATTTATCAAATATTCCTACATCTTTTCTTGATAGATAATTATTTAATGTTTCATTTGACAAGTTTTATTTGACACGTTTTCTTTCATGATTTTATAATACACTTTTTTTTTCCTCTCATTTCTTTACTACATTACATTTGTTATTATTTATTTAAATGGTTATTAGTTTGAGAAAGTATGATGGAATATTTTCGATCAATTTAATCTGTAGTTGTGTTTTATTTCTTTTTATTTTTTTTATTTTGCAATATTTATAATAATGCATATTATTTATTCGTTTTTATTAATTTATGAAATTTTTATAGCAATAATATATTTATGACACTTTTTCAGGTAGTACATGCAACTGCTGCGACAGATGACAAGAAATTACAAAGTTGTCTGAAGAAATTATCAGTTAACACTATTCCTGGTATAGAAGAAGTTAACATGATTAAGGATGATGGCACCGTCGTTCATTTTAATAATCCAAAAGCCCAGGCTAGTTTGTCCGCTAATACATTTGCAATTACTGGCCATGGGGAAAACAAACAGATAACTGAAATGTTGCCCGGTATATTGAGTCAGCTAGGTCCAGAAGGTTTAACGCAGCTTAAACGATTAGCAAGTACAGTGGCTGGTAGCGCAGTTGGTAAAGCAACGCTAGAGGAGGACGATGAAGTTCCTGATTTAGTTGAGAACTTTGATGAAGCTAGCAAAGAAGAGGTACATATTTAATTCTATCATTTTTATATAAATACACAAATATATTAATAATAATAATAATTATTAGAATTATCTAAGAGAAATATCTATAAGAGAATTCGAAAATTTAGAAGATCTAGGTCATTATAGGTTAACGGATGAGTTTCAAAATTGTCAGTATTTATAAATGTTTTTATTTGGCTTATTGTTAGCGTTTATTCAAGGTTGGGTAATAAGTGTATTTTCAAAATTTATAGTAGACAGTATTCGATTAGCGGAACAAGTTGGCTAAGCAATATATAAATAGACAAGCCATATTATTATTATTATATATTCATGTTTATTTTTAGGTCGCACCAAAAAAAGAAGTTGAGGAAAATGATAAAGCCTCTGCCGACAAAAAGGAAATTATCACAATCGAGGAAAAGAAAGAAGCACCCTTAGCTACATCCGAAGCTTAAAGAGTTTGTTGTCGAGTGTCGAGGTAAAGCCCTAGGTATATATATACACATAAATATATATATATATATATACACAAATTATAGATCTTAATGATAAGTCTTATAT